CTTATAAAAACTATTAAACAATTAAACAAATAAATGTATAATACAATATAAGGTAGTGTTTATTGCTATGAAGAAAAATAAACTAGTAAAAGAAATAGAAAGCATGGGGTGGGGATTCTTTTAGGTAGCATAATCAAAAAAGGTGACATTTGAACAAGGCTTGAAGGAGGTGAAGGAGAAGCCCACATCATGAGTGGGGGCAAGGGCGTGTAGAAGACAGCAAATGTAAACCCCTTGAGTTGAGAACGGCTGTGGTGTGTGTAAGGTACATGAATTTCTGACTGAATGATGTCTACCATTTCTTTTCTCTACTCCCAGATGAGCATTCAAGAATATGAACTAATCCACCAAGACAAAGAAGATGAAAATTGCCTTCGTAAATACCGTAGACAGTGTATGCAGGATATGCACCAGAAGCTGAGTTTTGGGCCTAGATATGGGTTTGTGTATGAGCTAGAAACTGGGGAGCAATTCCTAGAAACCATTGAAAAGGAGCAGAAGATCACGACAATCGTTGTTCACATTTATGAAGATGGCATTAAGGGCTGTGATGCTCTAAACAGTAGCTTAGCATGCCTCGCAGCTGAATACCCTATGGTCAAGTTTTGCAAAATAAAAGCTTCAAATACCGGTGCTGGGGATCGCTTTTCCTCAGACGTACTCCCCACCCTGCTCGTCTACAAAGGTGGGGAACTCATAAGCAATTTTCTTAGTGTTGCTGAACAGTTTGCTGAAGAATTTTTTGCTGGGGATGTGGAGTCTTTCCTAAATGAATATGGGTTACTACCTGAAAGAGAGATACATGCCCTAGAGCAGACCAGCATGGAAGAAGATGTTGAATAAAGATTCGGTTTGTCAATATCTCACCTTTCTCCTTTACACAATGAACATTGATTTTGGTAGTATCCATATTCTTTTAGAGAACACCAAGTACGGCCATGGCTATTCTAACTTGGAAAAGAAATCAGATTGACACTAAAATTATGTGATTAGCATTTCTTAGTATTTAGTTATTCAAATTGATATAATGTTTTACTACAAAACTTATAGTCTTCACCAACATATTAGTAGACAGAGGATATGTATAACATTGTGACAGTTTTTAAAAATCCCCTTCAAGTTATGTGTTGACTTTTTTACTCCCTGTTTTTTCCTCAGTGTTATTATTTGGGCTTTTCAAATTATATTACTAATTATAACTTTGCTTGTGTAATAAAAATAAAGTCTCATGAGGAAATAAATTTTCTATTTGAAGTCTGTTTTTTCTCAAATATTACATAATCCAGGCCCCCAAAACATTATATAACCCAGAATACAAAAAAATTATCATTCACTAAGCATCTTACATTGCAACCAAACTAATGCACAAGAAACAAAAACATTGTGCCACATTACTGGTAGTGACATGATGAAGTCTATTCAGAAATTGATAAATAATAATGCACACCCGAAATTACACAAGGCTATAAACCATTATGATCTCAAGAAAATTACTGGAAAAAAATGAGTATTTGTTTAAAAAGTACAATTTCAAAAGCTAACCTTATCTAGGAAAAAAGGCAGAATATAAGCAAGGTCTTTTTATTCTTTGGACAAAATAATATTTTGTAGTAACAATAATTACAACGATCATTTATTGATGGCCTATGATGGGCCAGTATTTTATACATATCATTCTAATTCTTAACTACAATTCTCCAAGTAGATAATATTACTCCCATTTTATAAATAATGAAACAAAAAAAGAGGAGCGAAGCATACGTTCTACTTTTATTTCCCTTGAAAACACTTCTCCTACACAAACACATGGAAATGCAAAATACAATATAATTTGAAAAGTGTTTTTAAATGCATGAATGAGCTGAAGAGTGCGATAAAAGAAATGTCTAGGCGTCTGAATCAGAGTGGAAAATAATGGTGAGTTAGAGCTGCAGCAATCTGGCCTTGATTGCTTGAATTTTGGCCTTGAAGACATGGTCCTTGATAAGTAACTAAAAATGGGCTTCCTGTGAGAAGGGTGCTTAAAACAGGTCTGCACATTTTCCCCCGGTGGACCAATGCTAAAACCAAACGCTTGTCACAAGTTCTAGTCTCCACTCTCCTAAAAGACTATTTGATAGCTTCTTTTCTTTTCTTAAACCTTTTATACCCTATTTCCCTGATCCAAACACTTCACTTTGCTCATACCTCATTGAGAAAATAGAAGTTATCAGATGAGCCCTACCTCATCCTTCTGTCACCAACCTAAAATGTGCATCTGCATGTAAACACTGTTTCCACTGATGTGACAACGGAAGAAATGACCATGCAGCTGTCTAAGGCCAATTGATCAAGCTCTGTTGTGGATCCTATCCTTCTCATCCTCACAGTAATTTTTCTCCTGCAATTATTTTCCCTCTCTCTGTATCATCTATTTCTCCTTTTCTCTCTGTCATATTATTCATACTGCTTGTAAATAGTTTTTAAATTGCCCACTACTTAAAATATGCCCACCTATAATTTTAAATTTCCAGCTATCCCTCACTCCTCTGCTTTCCTTTACAATCATATCTCTCAAAAGAAGTATCTAAAGTCATCATCTTTACTCCTCATTTCGAATTCTTTTCATCCCACTCCAATCAGGCCTTTGTTCCAAGCACTCTAATTACAGCTGTAGTCATCCTGTCAAACTTAGTGGCCAATTCTCATTCCCTATTTTATTCTATCTCCTATAAGCATAGATCAGAGCTGACTACCTCTTCTCTTTTTGTGTCACTTCTTTTGGCTTCTTTGAAAACACACTCTGCTTGCTTGACTTCTATCCTACTGACAATTCCTTATAAGTCTCCTTTGCTGACTTCGTCTTTAAACACTCACCCTAATCCCCTCATGTCCACAGTCTTATATACCATTTATATTCAGATCACTTTCAAATTCACATTTCTAGCTTTACCTCTCTCCTAGACTCAAAAATCCTGTGTCTCAACTGGAGAAAAGGAGGAAAGAAGGAAAAGAATGGGAAAGAAAAAGAAGGTTTGCAATTGTACTAGATATTGGTGATACAAAGATGGGTGAGACAGAATTCCTAACTATGGCCAGCTTACATTGACCAGTCCTTAACATCTAGTTGCTGCAACAGGTGCTGTTTCTGCTCATGAATCTAAAATTCCACTTTCTATTTCTCTTTATGAACTGGGAAAGGCATTTTAAATGCCCTATGGCCTATTTCTAGGTTGATGAATACTAGACACATCACAAGGAGAAAAAGTGCTGGGAGGGAGACATGCAGGGTAATTATACATAAAATAAGGAGCTTTTAAAAAAATACTTTAACATGTTTTCTCCTATCCAGTAATTGCTAACAAATTTATTAATCCCACACAGAGTTCTCTGCTAGGGAATTACTGAATTTAAAAAACCATAGCAAAAGACAGGATCCTTATACAAGATAGTTATAATTTAAAACTCCTTAGTGGAACAACTCTAGATTGACACTAATTCCATGGACTGGAAGTAAATACTTAAAAAAATGATGGCAAGGCTGTGAGGAATGATAGTCAAACATGTATCTCAAAGAGAACAATATTTTAAGAATAAAATATAATTACTTTTCCATCACTCATCATTATTAGCTGCAATGTAGTGCAGTTTTGTAGGGCAGGGGTAGAAAAGCATAGCGAAACAGTGAAAAAAAGACTCATCTATGGAAAAGAAGAATAAAAATGATTGCTTTGAAAGGTTCCTGTTCAATGAAAGTTTAACTCTTATAAGAAATAACCCATAATGCCTTAATTTAAAATAGAGAGCTAGCAAGCTTAAGCAGGACTAAACCCAGGAATGTATTTAACCCATAATTGCCAAAACAAAAGTAACTAGGTGGCACCTGTGTAGGGAATAAGTGATGATAGCAACCATTCTCAAAATAAGCACTTGGTGACTAATGGATGCCAGAATGAAGCTTTGATGGCAACACTCATCAGGAAGAGTCAGACAAAAGGCAGGATTTGACTAGAATATCTGAAACCTGCTGCTGCAGAAATCCAGGATTATAAACTCCCCTCATGTAAACACTTAATCTGTTCTTATATTTGACAGGAGGAGAGGAAGAGACGATTTTTGTCTCAGCAAAAAAATGAAGTTTTAAGTGGAAAGGTTTTAAAATGTCTTAACATGTTTCATAACAATAATAACTAGAATAGACTTGAAAGAAAAGACAAGAATGTTAGCTGTAAAATATGAAAATAATAGGAAAATTTCTAGGGAATAGAAAAATTATCTTGGAAAGTGAGAAACTCATTCAGTCGTTTGTTAATGAAATATTTATTGATCAGCTGCAATGTGCCGTGCAGTGTCCTTGACCTTAGGGACTTCAAAGTAAAGAAAATAGACTTTTAAACAGCAATAGATGATAAATGCATCTATATGTCTATCTATATGTCTATCTATATCTATGTCTATATTAACAGTAGTGGTTAATATCCTGAGCACTGGTGCCAGCTTTCCTAAGTTTGAATCCACTCACTAATTTTGTAATCTTGGGCAAGTTAGTTAACCTCTCTGTACCTGTTTCCTCACCTGTAAAATAAGGATAATAATAGCATATCCTCATTGGGTTGTTATGAGGAAACAGTAAGTAAATTGTGTAAACTACATAGAACAGTGCCTGTCACATAATTAGTATTACTCGAATGTCAGTTTTTATTGTTATCATTACTAATAGAAATATATAAAGTAAAATAGTGCATATAGTACTTAGATATAAGATCTTAGAGATATGCTTATGTAAATAGAAGCTAATTTATGAAAAAGTTAGGATGAAATTCATCCATCCCAAACACACCACTCATATTCCTCTATATAAGGACCATATTAAGAATTCTACATATTTGAATTGAAAGAGAGATCCTTAAAAACTGCCATTCCAAACTGACTGTAGAAACCACAATAAACATAAGTTAAATTAATTCTGAAAACCAAAATGCAGAATAAACAACATACAAATAAGAAGGAGATCTACAGAATTTTTAGGAGTTTTATAACTGAATTTATTGCAGAATATACTTATGATCATATACTTAGCTGTTCAAAGATGCCACCATTAACATTTTGGGTGAGATAATTCTTTCTTGTAGGGAGTTGTTGTATACATTGTAAGACGTTTAGCAGTATCCTTCGTCTCTACCCTCTAGATGTCAGTAGCACCTATACCCCAGTTAGACAACTAAAACTATTGCCAGACATTGCCAAGTGTCCTCTGGAAAGTAAAATTACCCCTAGCCAAGAACCACCTACCTCTACATACAAAATATATACCTTCTGTCTCCTGAGTTCCATGGTGATGGAAGTTTATTTATCCATCATCATTCACCTGGACCACTGACTCATTTTCTAACTGGGCTCCATGACTCTCAGACTTCACATTGACACAAAAATGATCCATAAAGGATGGTGGGTGGGTGACGGAATCCCAAGGCTCTCAGGCCATGCAACTGAAAGTCTTCTTAGAACATCTGTGAGACAAATAAAAAGAAGTATAATTGTAAAGATTCTTTACATATAACATTTGGGGATATAGACACTCTTCTTTTTTCTTTTAAAGATTTTGTTTTTTTCCTTTTTCTCCCCAAAGCCCCCTGGTACATAGTTGTATATTCTTCGTTGTGGGTCCTTCTAGTAGTGGTATGTGGGATGGTGCATCAGCGTGGTTTGATGAGCAGTGCCATGTCCGTGCCCAGGATTCGAACTAATGAAACACTGGGCCACCTGCAGCGGAGCACACAAACTTAACCACTCGGCCACGGGGTCAGTACTATAGACACTCTTCTTAATGACGTATGACTTTTAGGGTTGAAGTGGTTGTGTGTGCAGAAAGACAGTACCTCCAATTACTAGAAAAACATATTCTTTCAAAAGAACATAAACTTAACAGCAATCTCTCTCTAGTCAATTTTCAAGAGTTTGATCTTTAATTGCAAGTTTGAAACCTAAAAAGATTATAAAGACTACTATGGTACTGACATAAATTTAGATAAAGATATGCTGGTTTTATAATAAAAGTTATTACTTTTTACAGCAATTAGACTTGGAAAAATTATATATATGTATATGCTGTTTCAATAACACTTGTGCCTTTAATAAGAAAATTCTGAACAGCTATTTAAAAAAATACATTTGTCACAGGCATTGGTTGTATATCCTGTTATGAAAATAAAACACTTCACAAAGAAGTTATATATTAAGTTTCTGGAACATGTATAAAGGCAAAACACAATGTAAGTCATGATAATTAAAGAATTCCTGTGGAGGCAATGTCACCCATGCTATGGAAGAGTAGCTTTGGAGATCCCAAATAACATAGCTAACATTTTTATGTGTGTTATCAAATATAACAATTTCACATACATTACCTCATTTGATTCTCACAAGTGCCTATGAGGTAGGCAGAGCAATGGTTTTAATACGTGCCGTTCAAGGATGGAGAACATTTTTTTTCAGCTTTATTGAGGTATAATTGACAAATAAAATTGTAAGACACCTAAAGTGCACAATGTGATGATTAGATATACATATACATTGTGAAAGGATCGCCCCTGCCCCACAATTGAATTAATTAACACAGAGGATGGAGAAATTGAAGTGTTTCTGGTTAGGTGACTTGCCCAGGTTTATACAGCTAGTAAGATGTAGAGCTTGAACTTAACCTTGGGCCTCCCAATTCCAATGCCTACACTTCTCATTACATCATACTCCTTACCTAGCAGTCACCAACACAAAGAATATATTAACAACCAAATTTGTGATTCTTTAAGATTAGAAGATCTGTCTTTAATATATTTCATGTCCATATGTCAATTCAGTAGAAAAAAGAACAACAACAAAGTTACCTGGAATACAGATGAAGCTTCAGTAAGTCTTAAAATTTCAACAACTAATGCAGTGGCCACAGCTCTGGCAGAGACAACAGAGCTAAGTATACAGTAATCTCAATTGTCAATTATGGATTTTCCTTATTTGGGCAATAGCATTTAAGGAAAACATGGTTTTTATCTTTAATTGAGGCTCTCAGCTATAACAAGTATCAAAGTCGTTTTATCTTTCCGGGCTCTTTTTTGCCATAATATACTTCTAAAAATTAGTTTTCATAAAACCAGGTGTTTCACTCTAGGCTATTTTATTTCTCAGAGAGTCCCTCCCCACTCCCAATCCCTGAGCACATACTAGCTTGATTTAATCATGTTATCTCAAAAACAATAATTCATTTTTAAAGTCTGTCATTTATTCATTGTTGACACACATAATTATCTCCCCTACAGGGTTCCTGTTCTAACAAATTAATGCACTTTCAACAGGCAATGATAATCACACTTGAAACTGAACTTGCCAGGTAACTTGAGTTACAGAGATTTAGAGGCTTACATAAAACATTGTGTTAAGTCCCATAGAAGTTTAGAAGCACAAGACCATGGCTATCCATTACATTTACCTTTTCTTAAAAATAAATACAGATGCCATTTTTGCTCATCATTTTTCCTACTTTGAGCATTTCAGGAGAAAAGGAATTTTTCATTTTATTTTATTGTTGCTTTTATTTTGGTGGGGAAATGAGGAGAAATTTTAAATCTCCATTTGACTTTTCCTGAGGTGGAGCAGCAGAGAATTGCTATCCATTTGAAACTAGAGTTATTTTACTACTCTTCTCAGTTCCACAGTGAAAATTTGAAGTAGAAATAGTTCCAAATGTGACAACAGTAACAAGAAACATAACTGACCTAAACTCACTAGTTTAAAGGAATATATTTTTGAAATAGACTTAAAAATCCAAGTACTTGCTGTTTAAAAGAGATACATTTAAAGCATAAGAATACAGAAAAGTTGAAAGTAAAGTGATGAAAAAGCTGTAACAAGCAAATAATTTTTTAAAGCAAGTATCATTAAATTAATATCAGACAAATGAGCTTAAGGAGAAAAAAATTACACCTAATATTCACTATTACATCTAATAATATAGAAATGGTCATTACATAATGATAAAATGGTACATTTCACTAGGAAGATCTATCAATTTTAAATTTATATATACCTAAAAAATGTCATAAAATATACACAGTACAAATTGATAGAATACAGGAAGAAAGTGACTAATCCATCATCAGAGAATTCAGTACAGTTCTTTCAACCCTTAATAGATCAAGTAACAAAAAATTAGTATTTATGTAGATATTAACCATACAATTAACAAGCTTGAGCTAAGGGACATGCATAAAACGCTACAACCAATCATTAGTGAACTTACCGTTTTTCCCACTCTAGCACACAAAGAAGATTTTCAAAAGTTAATAAAACTAGGACATTATAAGACAGACTACATTTTAGGACCACAACGCAATTAAGTGGAAATTAATAACAAATATATATTTGTTACTAATGACAAATGTATACATATACTACTAAATAACTCCTGTGTCAAGGAATAAAATTATACTGGAAATTCAAAATTATTAAAACTGAAAAATAATAAATACGTCAAAACTTCTGGGATAGAGCAAAAGGCTATATCAGGGAAAATTATATTCTTAAAAATATAAATTACAAAAAAAGAAAGAAAAAATAAATGTATCCAACTTAATAAGTTAAAAAATAAGGTAAATCAATGTAATAGAAAAATGAAGAAATAGATACGAGCAGAAATAAATAAAATATAAATTCGATCTATAGATAGAATCCACAAAGTCAAAAGTTGGTTCATTAAAAAGACTAAGAGAAGAGAGAAATGTCTGCCAGATTGATGGCAAGGGGAGAAGCATAAATAAATAACATTTCAAATTTTTAAAAAACATATATACAGACGGCTGGGGTTAAAAAGAAACACAATGAACAACTTAATGTTAACAAATTTGAAAACAGACAAAATAGAAAAATTTCTGGAAAAATATAACTTACCAGAATTGACTTAAGAAAAATAGAAAGTTTGAAGAATCCTGTAACAAGCAAAGAAACCAGAAAAGTAGTTATAAAATATTACCTTCAACAAACCAAGGTCCTTACATCTGAAAGCTATATAATGTTACTACCCAATTTTAATGCAATAAAAAATAAAAATTAAAAAAAAAAAAACAAAGTCCAGATGTACTTACAAGTTAATTCTATCAAACTAACAAGAAACAGATCATTTTATATAGGCTTTTCCGGACAACAGAAACAGAGAGAATAATCATGAATTCATTTTATTAAACTAGGGTAATCTTGATACCAAAACTAGACAAGGAAAGTAAATGAGAAAGGAAGACTACAGGCTAATGTCACTTATTCGTATGGGTGCAAAAATTTTAAATAAAATACTAGTAAATTGACTCCAACAGTATATGTAAAAGATAAGATACAACCAAGTTGGATTTATCCCTGGAATGTAAGGCTGAGTGTATAAAGTTCATTACTCAGTATAGGTTATGCTCTCACCCTAGCCTTGATGTCATTAGTTGCTGGCGTCACTACCCGTGCCCCTTCCTAACTCCAAGCCATATAGGTGCAGCTATCAAAACTTATAGCAAGTGCAATAGCTACTCACTCAGGCTGAGTGAGCCATGTCCCCTGATCATTGAACCCAGAATCCAAACTCCTCAAAAACACTGAGATTAAATCTGCAATAATTCTTAACTTTGCATTCATCACAGTCAACATCCAAAGTGACAGCTCCCTGTAACTCTTCCCACTCAGTACTACTTGCCCACTCCCAACTTGCCATTTGCCGTAATACTCCACCGCACCATCATTCCCATCCTCTTCCCCTTCCCCTCTAAACGCAGCATACTTGCCTCTATTTCCAAACTCTTCTCCAAGCATTCCTTCCACATCTTTGCTATTACTGAAACCTGGTTCTTCAAAAAAGGTTTATCACTTTCAAGTGGTGACTGTTTATTCTTTCAAAATCCAAATATCATTGTTGACACTCTCCTTTACTCAAAATCATTATTCCAACTGGCTTCTGTAAAAAGTCTTATGTACTTTTTAAAAGGCTCATGCCATTTGCCTGTATCACTTTTCCTTCATCCTTGTAACTGTCAACTACTGACATTCTAATCACTCTCCCTCATTTATTAAAAATTAGACATTTGAATACACAGCCTTCCTTTATGCTTCAAGTTCTATCATCATGTTGGAACTTTATCATCATGTTAGAATTATTATCATTATTCTAGCAGACTACCTTTCCATAATCTGGACTCTCTGTTCCTTGACCTCCCCATTTCTTGAGCTCCAATAACCTACTTTACCTCAGCTACTCACTTAATTTGTTATCATCTATGTGTTCTTTCTTCCCAAATCACCATTCCAAACATCCTTACTTATGATTACAATCATGTCAAGTGATGTCAGCATCATAGTGGAGTGAGCTGTTCCCTTAGTCTCTCCCCTCTAAGATACAACCAATAGGACATTCATGAACCAACAGAGGATATCCATATAGCACAATAGGAAGTCTGAGAGGTCCACACAGCCTTACATCTGAAAGTGGTGGTACTGGATCCCTGGGAAGCAGTGGAAGGAGGTCAGCAGTTCTCCTTCCTCTCCCCTGTGGCAGCGACCTAGAGTGCAGGACTTCATGCAGTGATTGATGCATGACTCTAAGAGGATGCAGGGGAACAGGCAGGCCTCGGCGTGAATGCTTTTGCTTTTGGAGTTGCATCCCAGCCCATGAGAATACTCCACACCGAGGCACCTCAGCCACCACATGGGTAATCCCACCAAGCCCAGCAGCTCAGGCAGTCTACTAGTGAGTACAGAGTGGGCACACACATGAAAGAAATCTCCTTTTCCTCCCACCTAGTACACCAGCTCAGCCAGTTGGCCGGCGCAGTGGATCTGTGTGTGATCCACCAGGCATTGGTGGCCAGTGGGCAGATGCAGATAAGCCCTATTGGCACAACTTCCAGTTGAAGGGCACAAGTGCCAGTGAACACAGTATGTTCAGAAAACAGCTCCTGACTCCCACAATGGTGGCAGGTGGAATCTGTGACCAGATACTACCACCATGCATGAGCAAAAGTCCACTTCATTAGACACCAAGAAGAAATACATTAACACTTCAGATCAAAAGGAAAATTACAGGTCTCCAGAAATCAATCCTGTTGTCACATAAATTTGCAACCTAAATGACTGAGAATTCAAAATAGCTATCATAAAGAAACTCAATGAGTTAAAAGAGAACCCAGAAAGACAGTTCAACAAAATCAGGAATAAAATTAATGAGCAGAAGGAATTCTTCATAAAAAGGATTGAAACTCTTAAAATAAAAAAACTAAAACCCAAACAAATGCTGGAGGTGAAGAACACAATGAATGAGATAAAAAAAACAATCTAGAAACCTTAAAAAACAGAGCTGATATTATGGAGGATAGAATTAGTAATTTAGAGGACAGAAATATAGAAATGCTTTAGGTGGAGGAGGAGAGAGAACTAAGACTTAAAAAAACAAAAAAAGAAGAAATTCTCTGAGAAATATCTGACTCAATTAGGAAATGCAACATAAGGATTATAGATATTCCAGAGGGAGAAGAAAGGGAGAAAGGAGCAGAGAGTTTGTTCAAAGAAATAATAGCTGAGAACTTCCCAACATCTGTGGAAGGAACTGGAATTACAAGTAAATGAAGCCAATATAATTACTAATAAAATCAATGTAAAAAGATCTTCTCCAAGGTATATTTTAGCAAAACTGGCAAAGTCAATGACAAAGAAAAATTATTAAGGACAGCAAGGCAGAAGAGAATAATCTACAAAGGAACCCCTATCAGGCTTTCAGCAGACTTTTCAGCAGAAACTTGACAGGCTAGGAGAGAATAGAATGATATTCAAAATGCTGAAAGTCAAAAACAGCCAAGAATACTCTATCCAGTGAAACTATCCTTCAGATATGATGGAGAAACAAAAAGTTTACCAGATATCACAAAAGCTGAGGGAGTTCATTGCCACAAAACCCCCCACTCCTACAAGAAATTATCAAGAATGCCCTCACACCTGAAACAAACAAGAAAAGATTTATAAAGCCTTGATCAAGGAGATAAATAGACAGACAAAATCAGAAAAGTGCAGCTCTCTATCAGAAGAGGATAGCAAACACTTAACCATAACATTAAAGATAAAGGGAAAGAAAGCATCAACAATAACTATAAACACTTTATTTTTATCACAAATTCACAACACAAAATGGAATAATTTGTGACAAAATAACTCAGAAGGGGAAAAGGTAAGGGATGGAACGTGTTTAGGCTAATGGAGACGAGAGGCTATCAGAAAATGGACTATCCTGTCTACAAGATTTTTTATACAAACTTCATGGTAACCACTAAATAAAAAACTAGAACAGAGAGACAAATGATAAATAAAGACAAAAGTGAGAAAACCATCATAGAAAATCACCAAACTGAAATGGCAGTCAGAAGTATACGAGAAGAGAAACAAGGGTAATATAGAACAATTGGAAAACAAGAGATAAAATGGCAGTATTAAGCCCTCAGATATCAATAATCACTCTAAATGTACACAGATTGAATTCTCAAACCAAAAGACACAGAGTGCCTGGACGAATTAAAAAACAAGATCCAACAATACGTTGCCTCCAGGAAATACATCTCAGTTCTAAACAAACAGAGGCTCAGAGTGAAGCAATGGAAGATGATGCTTTAAGCAAATTGCAAGTAAAAGAAAGCAGGTGTTGCCATACTTACATCAGACAAAGCAGACTTCAAGATAAAAAAGGCAATGAGAGACAAATAGAGGCAGTATATAATGATAAAAGGGACATTCCACCAAGTGGACATAACACTTATGAATATATATGTACCTAACACGGAAGTACCAAAATATATAAAGCAACTGTTAACAGATCTAAAGGGAGAAATTAACGGCAAACAATAACAGTAGGGGACCTCAACACCCCACTTACATCAATGGATAGATCATCCAGACAGAAAGTCAACAAGGAAATAGTGGAATTAAATGAAAAACTAGACCAGATGGACTTAATAGATATATATATAGAGAGAGAACATTCCATCCAAAACCAGCAGACTACCATTCTTCTCAAATGCACATGGAACAGTCTCAAAGATAGACCATATGTTGGGAAACAAGGTAAGCATTGATAAATATAAGAAGACTGAAATCACATCAAGCATCTTTTCTAACCACAATGCTATGAAACTAAAAATCAACTACAAGAGAAAAGCTAGGAAAGTCACAAATGTGTGGAGATAAACAACATGCTACTGAACAACCACTGGAGCAATGAAGAAATCAAAGGAGAAATAAAAAAAAATCTAGATAAATGAAAATGAAAATACATCATATCAACTCCTACGGGATACAGCAAAAGTGGTTCTAAGAGGGAGATTCACAGCAATACAGGCCCACCTGAACAAACGAGAAAAATCTCAAAGAAGTAATCTTAAACTACACCTAACAGAACTAGAAAAAGGAGAACAAAGCAAGCCCAAAGTCAGCAGACCAAGGGAAATAATAAAAATTAGAGCAGAAATAAATGAAATTGAAACAAACAAACAAAAAAAACAGTAGAAAGGATCAGTGAAACTAAGAGCTGGTTCTTTGAGAAGATAAACAAAATTGACAAACCCTTAGCCAGACTCATTAAGAAAAAAAGAGAGAAGGTGCAAATAAAATTAGAAATGAAAGAGGGGAAATTACAATGTATACTGCAGAAATACAAAGTATTATAATACTATGAAAAACTATATGCCAACAAATTGGATAACCTAGAAGAAATGGATAAGTTCTTAGACTCATACAATTTCTCAAAACTGAATCAAGAATAGAGAATATGAATAGACCAATTATAAGCAAAGAGATTGAAACAGTAATCAAAAACCTCCCACAAAAGTCCAGGACCGGATGGCTTCTCTGGAAAATTCTACCAAACATTCAAAGATTTAATACCTATTCCTTCTCTAACTATTCCCAAAATTGAAGAAGATGGAACACTTCCTAACTCACTCTATAAGGCCAACATCACCCTGATCGCCAAACCAGACATGGGCGACACAAAGAAGGAAAATTACAGACCAATATCACTGATGAACATAGAGGCAAAAACTCTCAACAAAATATTTGCAAACTGAATACAGCAATATATTAAAAGGATCATACATCATGATCAAGTGGGATTTATACCAGGGACGCAGGGATTGTTCAACATCCACAAATCAATCAATGTGATACAACACATTGACAAAATGAGGATGACAATCATGTCTCCTTATCTACTTTTCAACTACTACCAAAATTTTGGGTCTCTGATTTCTTCTAGATCTCCACTCCATTGATGTCTTTATATTTACAATTCATCAAGACATATTCTTTCTCTCTCTTTCTCTCTCTCTCTCTGTTCTCCACTTCTCTCTCTTCACTTCCTTTTTTATTCAACTTAGATTTCATGGTTCATCATTTAAATAATATTTTTAAATAATATTCTTGCTAATATCCTAAATTTCCTAGCCCCTCTTTGCTTTCAACTTATCTGTTGGACAAGATGCCCGAATATCGCTAAGTTTTTCTATTCTTAAATCTGAGAAGACAAAAACTACTGGGGAAAAAATCACGCAATTTCATTCATTTATTATCACTAATCTCAAATGGGGCAATCCCATTAAGTTTCTTTGGTCAACACTATCTCCCATTCTTTGCAATAATTCTTTGAAATCTTCTTTATTCTCCTCCTTCTTCACTCTCAGCAGATGACTTTGTCAACTTCATAGAAAACTGAAGGCATCAGATGAGATCATCTTCAACCTTCCACTACCAAACCTACAAACCCATATACACTTGCACCAGTTTTCTTCTCTCTCTGAGCTATTAGAATATATTTTCCTTCTATCAAGGCCAATAGCTGCCTATGCTTTAGAGACTAGCCCCTCCCGTCTTCTCAGGAATCTTACATTCATGTTTCCTTACTTCTCCAGTCATCCCTCTTGCTTCTATATACCTAATCACTTCCTTTCGTCAGTATCTTTACCCTTAATACATATATGCCCCACTAACTACTATGTTTAGCAAGTCACTTTCCTGAACCTCAGTTTCTGAATTGTTAAAAAGGTCATGATAAAAATGAAAATACTTTGTAAGTTGTAAAGCACTAGAATGAGAGTTTGTTTAGTTGTTATAATTTGTTTCAACCAAAGGCCAAAGGAATTAAGTGGCTTCCCAAGGTTTTACTGTTTCTAAATTGGAAGATCTAGAGGTACGACTCTCCACAATCATTAGCTATTATTTCATTTGTAATTAATATCTAGAAAATATTTTCAATAGTGCTAACCTGAAGCATAGAAATATTTTTAAAAATCTTCTTATTTTTGTTTAGATATAGATACTGCAGTCTAGCATCTTAGCTTGTTCACATTCAGAACTTTAATCATGGGGAAAGGCATCTGGTGTATCTACAACTAAACTGGATTTGACTAAAATAGAATCTAAGAGCTGATTAAACTACCTTCATCCCTATCATTAAGTTCCCTTCACAATTCTGTAAACAGAAGATCTTCTTAGCAACTGAACAACTTGAGTGAAAGACCCTTTCCTAAAACATCAAGTCTTTTTTAACAAAGAATTTTTGTACAGGGTTCTTTGGTGAGCAGAAGTTCAGAAGTTTCACAGCAATAGTGTAAAATCAAGCTTCATTTGATGGTAAGTACATAAAATATTTACAAAAGATAAAAAAAGAAGGAATAATCTATTTCTGATTATTGAGACAGATAATAGTTACTTACTCAATGTCTACTCTTCCTATATATGTACCCTTGGGTATAATGCATAATAATTAATATGTGTTTCAATTGTACTCATCAAATTTGAATCCATTCAACAAATCTTTGCCCTGCTTACAACAAAAGAGTGCTGTAAAAGTACAATGAGATAATGTATGTGAAAACACTTTAGAAATAGCAAAAGCAGAGAAAAACAACTGTCATTTCTAACTCCACTTTTGTCTGTTGTCCTTAACCAATAAATCAAAACCTATTAAAATATTAATTTACCTTTCAACAGGTTATGAATTGTATGACAACTCATTGACTACCTTTAGTGAATATTCCTTAACGTACTTGATATTCCCAATATAATTATTTATTAGGTTACACTCAGAACTCAAGAACAATTTACTAGATAGCTTTATTGTACTTTGGCTAATTTATATTTAGACA